CGGAAGCTGACCAGGGGTCTCCTTCCAACAGTTACTCTCCGGCATGTTTCTCTACACACTTGAACTGCCCATATCCTCACTAGTATCAGCTTAGATTAAAAGGAGAAAAAACTTAGTATATGATATATAAGCATCTTATATTCAAGGTTCATTCTTCTTAAATATCAGAGAAAGAAAGAATGAAAAAAAGACAAGGATGCCTCCTAGAAATTTGATGATTTGCTTTAAGAATTTCCTAAGATCCTTGGCCAGAGTTAGGGAACCACAGTAGATAATAAGATAGATACCAACTGATTCCGCCTGTGGGTTGGTTGTAACTTAAACTAATGAGGTTTCAATAGTTGGATTATAGCCAAATTTTGAGGGTTTATCTTCTTTATGCTTCATTGATTTAATTCCTACATTTAGAAAACAACATGATGCATTTTAATTCAGCAAAATGTACTTTAATTTTAATGTAGTTAAATGTACTGGGTTGTCAGAAAAGTCATGACGCATTTTGCAACGAAAGACATAGAAAAAATACGTCATGACTTATCCGATAACGCAATATTTATCTAGAGTATTATCGGGTATTTCTCGTCTTAAAGGGAACTCAGTATCTTGTTTTTCTTTTAAGTGCCCTACCTTGAATTTATTGGCATGGAGTCTGTTAGCAGTACCCCGATAGGAAGGACTGCATGTGGTGGGGGAGGGGGTGTCTTATGGTTTGTTTTCTTTTGTTAGAAGATAAACTAAACTCATACTTCATTCCACCATTTTCTCATTGGAATGAATACTTGTTTCAGTTTGGCTCTTACCGCCCCTCCCTCCACAAGTAGTTCAGCCCATCAGTCATCTTCCCTTCCCAGTCTTTTCAGCACTGGTTCTTCCCTTGTGTGTGCAGTATGTTCACCTCTCACTCATCAATGTAGCATCTTGTTTTGGCCACGTTCAGCTGGTTGTCCTGCTGTTTTCTCCCACCATCAGATTTCCCTCTTTGGAAATGATCCTACTCTGACATCTTCCACTTGTTCACCAGCTATTCTCTTAGTGGTTCAGTGTGAGCCATCGTCTGCACCTGTCCCTCAGGTAAAACCACTCCGAGGCAGACCTCCCAGAGGCTGCTTGTCCTCATGTCTGTAGTGGTCGTCGCGGTTGATCACTGCTTCTCCCTGAAACTCTCTCCTTCCTGGAGGCTGCACGAATGAAGCTCCCCTGATCTGTCCCCTCCCCCAGGCTGCTGTTCTGCCTCCAGGTCCCCGCCCAACACCAACAGGCACAGGAGGCCATAGTGATCTTGATTTAACTCTCTCTCTCTCTCTCTCTCTCTCTCTCTCTCTCTCTCTCTCTCTCTCCTTTTTAAAAAGCCCTTTTGGCTGCTGATCTTTTAGCGCCATGGTTTCCGATGTTGCTTCTATTCATCTGGCTTCTGTCTTGTATCACCTGCTCAGACATCCTCAGCCAACTTCATGTCCATCACGACCCCCTTGTTCTTGGCTGTTTTCATTCAAATGGACCAGTAAAACATAAACTACAGAGGTCCCCAACTGAGTTATTCTCTTCTCCCTGTGTCCAGTGCTTCATCCTGACTTTCTAATGTGAGTCCGTCCCATTCTCCCAGTCACATCCTGGACCGCCAAGGTCTTTTCTTCCTCTTTCCTTCCCTATCCTAGCAATTGCCAGCCTCTGCAGACTTAGCCATCCCAATCTGTTTTCTATCCAGGCTCCCATTCCTTCACCCACTGTATTACTGTCAGTTTTCCAGAGAAACAGACCAATAGGATATGAGATCTACAGAAAGAGATGCATGCTAATGAGTGGGTTTATGTGACTATGGAGGTTGGCAAATCCAAAATCTTCAGGGTGATTTGGCCGACTGGAGACCCAAGAAGAGCCAATTCTGCAGGTCAAGTCCAAAGCCTTTCAGCTGCTACGTAGTAACAGCACTGGAGCTATCGTAAAATAGTGTGATTTCAAGTAATGTGTCTGAGAAAATGTTTCTCTCCAATAGAGAGGTTATGCTTTCCTCATTCTCCCAACTTACTCTCAGAACAGAATGAGCTAATGATTTTTGAAATAGGTGTTCATATGTCAGGGAGCTTCTATAATTAAACCTAACAGAAAACAAAGTGCCATAAAAAGTTCGCTTTTCCCCGAGTTGCTCACAGACTGAAGTGCTGCAAGCTGAGTAGAAGAGCGCGAATTGGTCCAGGAGCCCCCATGACATTCTGAGAGTGACTCCTGAGTGTCATTAACATTTCCTTACTTTTCCACCAATCACATGTTGAAAAGACTTTAGTCATTCAAACATTAAGTAATTTGGGTAAACCTACATACACATTTCTGCTAAGTGTTCTACAATAAAAGCTGTTGTAGACCCCTCTGTTTCCCAAAGCCCTTTCTGGATGTACTGCTTAATTTGATTTTTGGTTACTGATTCAATCTCCTTATTAGTTATAAGTCTATTCAGATTTTCTATTTCTTTGTGATTTAGTCTTGGTAGGTGTATATTTCTAGAAATCTATCCAAGACTGTTATTATATTTGTGCTATTTTTAAAATTCCACATACATCATGATTATTTCCCACTGTATAAATATTCTGTGTAAATGTGATTGTCAGTGGTTACATAATACACCACCCCATGGGCACACCATACGTCATCTAGCCTTCCTCCTGTTGTTAAATGTAGGCGGACTTAAATTATTTTTCTGCAGTGAATATTCTCATACTGTGCACACATTTCATCTTAGTTCCTCAGGATTAACTCCTAGTGGTAGAGTTTCTGGGTCTTTGGGTGTGTAAGCATTTTTTCCTGCTCTGACCAAGTCTCCTGAGGTGATGCCAGGAAGGAAATTTGGCTCAAAGTGTAAGCTACCAGTTGAGCAATGAGAACAACTTATGTAGACGATTTTGTCAGTATCTTACTATTCCAATTCCATTATCCAGTAAATTATCTGCTTAATAGATGGAAAAACTTGAGCATAAATATTAGTTTTGTCTAATAGCAATAAGTCTCAAGTACTTTATTTAAAGAAGTTTCACTATTATTCTTAATATGTTCACTCATGTGAGTTCACTAACCATATTTAAAATAAGACAAACAGCTAAATAACTCATAACCATCATCAGAACAATGAATAACACTTATTGAAAATTTGCTCTGTACCAGACACAGGGCTAAGCCTTTCAAATACATAATCTCTCATTAACTTACAAACCCTAGCAGGTGGATATAATGAGCTCTAATTCACAAACAACAGCCAGAGGCCTTGTGAGGTGCAGCCTCACAGCCTGTCAGGAGGCAGAGCAAAGGCCTCAGCAGAGGTCTTGCAGGTTAACACCTATTTCGTGCTCACTATGAAGCAATGAATGTTCTGAGCTATAAAAATGTGGAATTTTACAAGTGACAAAACAAAAACCCTGAGAAGTTTGTGACCTGCCCCAAGGAACATAGCTAGTAAAGGGCAGACCCAGTAAAGGGCAGACCCAGGCTCAGATTCCAGACGCCCAATGCTTAGGAGAGCCATCTCTCAGAACTGCTGCAATCTCACATGAAGTGAGAAGAAGTGATAATCAGAAACGGAGCCACACCAGGCTAAGCACTTAGAAAGAACTTTCCCCCTGTGACTGACAAGAGACCAGGCTGGTGACCAGAGAAAACGTTGGACTTTGGGCCCCCACCAGGCCCCTCCCCAGCAGTACCCTCTTGTAGGAAATAATCTGTCCAACTCAGAAGCTTCTTCTCGTATTCTCCCACCCCACCCCCACCCGTGTGTGTGTGTGTGTGTGTGTGTGTGTGTGTGTGTGTGTGTGAAAATCTCGTATATTCTTTGCTCTTCACTTAAAGGACTACAGTCATCTCTTAGCACGCATTCCGATGAGACTCTGGTTCTCAGAGGCCTGGTTTCTTGTACTTCTCTCCCCGAGTACAGACAGGATTTGCTCTCACAGGAACTAAGATTGCAAGGCCCATTTGGCCCGACCCTGCCACTGCTCTCTGGTCATCAGTGTTTGGCGGTGGGTCCTTGCGTGTGCCAAACCTTGGTTGAGTTCTTCAGCCAGTGCTTGTGCAGACTCACGACCAGCCGCTTCCGGCCACTGGCATCCAAGCCACTTCTCTGGAGACAGAGTCAGACCCAGCCAGGCCTAAGGCACCCTCCTGCCTGCTGCTCAGGCTCCGCTGTTAGGCTCCCAGAAGGAGGAGCCCAGCACAACTTTGAAAGGTCAGCATGTCTCGGAGTCAGCCTTCACACAAGATAAACCACATGGACATTTCACTCTGGCAGATATTTTGAGTTCTGTCCAGCTTTTGGAAATCACGGAACTTTGGAAATACTTGCTTACAGTTTTAGCATTCCTAGGCTGATCCACTGCCTGGATTCCCCGCTGCCTTGGTTACAGTAAGAGCCGCAGTCATTCTGAGCATTTGTGAGGTTTCCTCCAAGTCCGCTGAGCCTGGCCTCCGCCCCAGCCTGGCCTTCGAGCCCGGCTCGGTCTGGTTAGGGCCGCGGCCGCCTGTCACCTGTCACCGCGTCCGGAACTGATCCACGTGCCTGTGTGTTCTTGAGTTCTTTCTACCCAGCTGGTAGACTGAGCCTCTCCTGAGAGGCATTTGCTTTCCTTTTATATCCGTTTCCTTTGTGATAATAAAAATCTGTGCTCAAGTGGAGAATTACGAAACTGAAGTCAAAAGTTTCCAAACATGCTGATGTCACCGTAACATTTCAAAGGACCTGCGATCCTTCCCAGGGGTGGGGGAGACGGTTTGCTCTGCCATCCTCCACTCCGGAAATGCAAGCGACCAGCGGTGAAGCGCAGCCCACGCTGGGCAGGGTGGCTGACTCCTGGGGCTGAACCGATTCGGTCCCTTCCTGTTCCTCAGTCCATGGGGACAGCCAGGCCCTCCCCGCCCTTATCGCCGGGCCTGGCGGTGATTGAGAGGGGAACCGGGGCGCGCAGGAGGTGAGGGGCGGGGCCAGGCAGAAGGTGAGGGGCGGGGCGGGGCTGTGCGGAAGGTGAGGCGAGGGCCCCGAGGCCCTTCGCCAGAAGCTGGGCGGGTAGCCGCGGGGCGGGTCCTGGGGCGATTCTCCAATCGGTGCGCACTCCGTTGGCCCAGACTCCGGACCTGCGGGACCCCACCCTGGGCGGACTTCGAAATTGACCCAAGGACAGACCGGTGCCGCGGCCGGAGCCCCAGCTGGTTTGTCCCCAAGCGAAGATGCGCGCTCTGCCAGCCCTGGAGGCACCCCGAATTGAGCGGCTCCTGTCCCGGGACCCCGAGGCCCCCCGGGACCGGGTCGCGACGGAGCCGGCACGCAGGAGCGCAGTGGAGAGGTTGGCGGCCGACCGCGCCAAGTATGTGCAGGGCCGCCCCAGGGTCGGACGGGGCCCGGCTTCCGAGGGCAGCAGCCCCGGGGCGAGCGAAGTGCCGACAGGCGACCCTCGGCCTCCAGCCCGCGCCCCCGGTGCGGTGGCGCGCAGGGCCATAGCGCGGAAGCCGCTGAGACCTGACTCGCTGGTAATGTACCGGCAGAAATGCGAGTTCGTGCGCGGGCCGGGCGCCGACAGCTTCAGGGGAGGCTTGGTGAGGAAGCTCTTCCAGGGGCCGGGCAAGGACAAGACGCCGGCGTCCCCGCAGACGACCTCGGTGGGAGACGGGGTCCGGGCCAGGGGCGAGGAGGCCGTCCGCACCAGGCCCGACCCGGTACTGGCCCCCGCACTCCCGGCGCCCTCCGCACTTCCGGTGCCCTCTACGCCCACCAGAGTGCCGGCTGCGCCCACCACAGTCCCAGCTGCGCCCCCCAGAGTCCCGGCTGCGCCCACCAGACTCCCGGCTGCGCCCACCACAGTCCCGGCTGCGCCCACCAGAGTCGCAGCTGCGCCCACGGGAGTCGCAGCTGCACCCACCAGAGTGCCGGCTGCGCCCACCACAGTCCCAACTGCGCCCACCACAGTCCCGGCTGCGCCCACGGGAGTCGCAGCTGCACCCACCAGAGTGCCGGCTGCGCCCACCACAGTCCCAACTGCGCCCACCACAGTCCCGGCTGCGCCCACGGGAGTCGCAGCTGCACCCACCAGAGTGCCGGCTGCGCCCACCACAGTCCCAACTGCGCCCACCACAGTCCCGGCTGCGCCCACGGGAGTTGCAGCTGCACCCACCACAGTCCCGGCTGCGCCCACCACAGTCCCGGCTGCGCTTCGGAGCCCAGAGCTGCGAGGGGCGAGGCGCCGGGGCCTGCAGCGCTCACAGTCGGATCTCAGCTCCCGCTACTCCATGTCTTTGGCCGAACTTGACACCTTCTTCCAGTACTGCGGCCTGGAGCCCGAGGTGGTAGAGGCGCTCGGGAGGGAGAACTTCTCCGTGGGGTCGGACCGCCTCGCCCTCAAGGTCCGCAGCGTGAGCGTCGCCACCTCCGACAGCGGCTTCTCCCGCCACAGCCGCGGCGACGAGGGACTGCAGGAGGAGGAGCTGACGGAGCAGGTGCCCAGCACCACTTCGGTCGTCGAGAGGAACGCCCGCATCATCAGGTGGCTGTACACCTGCAAGAAGGCCAAGGAGACCCCCAACCAGGGGCTGCAGGTTCTGGCGTGACCGCCTGCGCCTGGGGAGACCCGGACCCAAGGTGTGAGCCCGGGAGGGGTGTCTGTGCGCCCTTCTGCGGGGGCTTGGTGGTTGTGACCGATTTGGATGGAACCAGTTCTCTAACGTTGTTCGTGACCCTAGAGATTGAGACGCAGGGTCTCGCGTGTGAGTGACCGCTGCTGCAGGGCAGGATGGCCAGCGGCCCGGTCCCCGCAGGTCCTGCGCTTTTTCTTGGTCATGCTCTGCTTCTGACTGCCTGGAAATGTATTCTGTGCCTTAACACCATCCCGGTGGGTTGTTTTTATGAAAAGAGAAACCGGAGTTATAAAATGCTGCCAGAAAGCAGTTTTTCACTTCTCCTGTTATTATTTCCTGCGTGGAAGACAGCCCGGGAGCTCTCGTCCCTGTGGGAATTGACCCATGGGCACCCTGAAGTTTGGTCGAGCTGATGGTCGCCTGGAGCCCTGGGTAGCAGCCATCTCCCCTCCCGCGGAAGGGCAGGCCCTGCTCTGGGTCCCCAGGCCGTCACCGTGGTGGTGGGGAAGGGGAACTCTACAGGGCCTTGGCAGCAGATTGGCATGCACTTAGCTGGAAAGGTCTCTGTTTGGCTAAATCGAGTTTTAATTGCTTTGAGAGCTTTGTAAGGAGAGTGGAGCTGCTTAGTTCTAGTTCTCGAGGAGCTTCAGTGTGTTGGCCTGGCGTCTGGACCAGGTCGCTCGTGTGGTAGCCGTCCACAGGGCTGTGACTCTAGCTTGTTGGCCTCTGATGATAACGCAGGAGGAGGTACATCTCTTGGCCTTGGGCACCAATAGCACAGGGGTGATCTCAAGTTCTCACTGAGGAGAACACAGTTGGTTCTCACTGTCACCTGTCACCCTCTCTCCACACACACGTGGGAACAGCATTTGTAAGGACAGAGAAGGGAGAGCAGACCATACTTTTTCAGGGTTCTCTTTGAGAGCCCAGAACTTAAACAATGCAGCAAGTTTTCTTCTCTTACCTGTCAATGACAAGTTGCTATAGATAAAAGAAATTCATGTTATGGAAGTATCTTGTCTGTGCCTGACATAATCTAATTGAAGACACAGGGTCAGTCTTTAGGCTGGTGGGGGAGGTGCCACAAGACATGTTTGTCCAAGGTCACCTGTATTTGAGGACTGAAAAAAGCCTAGCAAGTCCCCTGAGTGGCCATCGCCTTAGTGTGGATGTGAAAATTAAAAAGGAGAGATGAATTCATTGTTTCTTTTGAACTTGGATCATGACTTAAGTTCTTCCTTATAATTATTGAAGATTATTTTCCACTAAATCCCCAAAGAATGTATATAGGAGGTAGTCAAAACTTAAAAACAAATAAGAAAACATTAACTTGTGCTTTTCACACTGTCTTTCTGAATGAGATGAGCTGAAGGTGCCACACACGCCGTGGTGTGGAGGGTGAGAGTTTAGGGGCTCAGCATGGGCCCAGAGGGACATGGACGGAGGCCTGTCCTCTGTCAGCTGTCACATTTGCACTTGCGGCTTAGGCTTCGATCGTCCATGAAATGAAGGCAGATAGGATGGATGGTCTCCACTTTATGGCCCTTTATGATTCTGTATAGCCACTAATCTGCGTATCCACATTTCATGGTTGGAACCCAGAGAGGGAAAATGAAGCAGCACTGTCTACTGGAGTTGGTCAAGTGTCAGTTTTTTAGTAAGTTCCCCCAGGTTGCCCAAGGCACTGCATTTCATGCACAGAGGGAGTTGGAATTGTTGGTAATAGATCTAAGTAACAAAACAATGCACCAACAAACTGAAATAAAACCTGGCAACATAAAAATATAAGCAGCCCAGACCCCCCACCCCCACCCCAATGCTCCAGTGTCAAAGCCTTGACCTGAAAGAGAATTTAGGATTTAGTCCATGAAGTAAACTTCCCAAGTCTCTTTTAGGTTTGAGCCTAAGAAAGATGTAAGGAGTGCGATCAGCCTGGGAGAACTTCCACTGATGACAATGAGTAGGAGCTGCGGAAAGAGGGACAGTGACAGCGGAGTTAGGAAACTGCTGAGGGGAAACCTGTGCGGGAGATAGACGACCACATCCCCACCTCGATCCTGTTTGCGCAGGTGGGGGATAGTGTCACCTGCTTTCTGAGCTGTGTCATATTATTGCTCAGAGACGGGAGACAGAGGTCACAAAGGACCTGCCCAGTGTTCTGCATGTCCTCAGCTGTCACCAGCACTGTAAATACTTGCTTCACAGTTTTATTCCCTCAGACCCAAAACATAGCTCCTGTTCCTGAAAACCCCAGCCCAGGAGACCTGATGCCTGGCCAGTTGGAGTGTGGGGAGAAATGAGTGTCCTGGGAGTGAGACGACGTCTGCTTCTGACCACAGCCCCCTGAACCCGACAAGTACAGGCCTACAGGCCATCTCCTCTGAGGAAGAGCCAGTGGGGACAGCCAGGATCCAAAGCACAGGGCACGGCACCCTTCGCCTTCGTAAGCGAGGGTCATCTGGCAACTGGACAAAAGGGCAGTTGACCTGGCCTTACGGGGTTACTGGTTTCAGACTAAAGCCTTAACTTCTGGAAGCTGTGGAAGCAAGAATGCAATCTGTCATTTTTCTCTAGTTTATCAGGACATTTGTGTTGGAATCCATGCAGATTCATTTTAGGGTTTTATGAAAATTTCAGAAAATTTGAGATGAACAAAGGTATGCTTTCTGAGTGAACAATACATGTATTTTATTTGGAGGTTTTTGTACCCTTGGTAGATAGAGATTTTTATCAATTAAAATGAAAATGTACCATCCATAACTAGATAACAGTTTCCTCAGCTTATTACCCCATGGAGTAAAAATGTTTGCTTTTCAAAATTCAGAGTCAGAGATAGAGAATGCACCTGACCTGCTGGGGACCCATGAGTAATAGTCAGGCGTGGGTAATTTCTGTGTTCTGTTTCCCAGCATGTAATTCGTGAAAATTGCTCTTCTGTCTGTTGATGTTTAGTCATCTTCCGGTCCTTCATTTCATTAAAATGACAGGCCTGCCAAAAGTTAGGTCTCTCTGATTTTCGGTCTTTTACAAAGTATTCTTTAACATTGGTATAAAAGAATGCTAACTTGTCCTTGGGATTACTTATGGACAAACATTGTTTAATTTCAGGGGAAAAAATCTCAGGTCTTCCACAGCAGTTTTCACATTTCTCTTTGATGAAAAGGAACACCTGTGGGGGCCACTGCACGCTGGTGGCCGCAGCTGGGGGGCCGGAGCTGGGGGCCTGAGCTGGAGGGCCGGAGCTGTGTATCGGAGCCACACGTCCCGGGGAAGAAGCAAACCTAGCGGCCTCCAGTCTCTGCTCCTTTCTCTCCAGACCAGCTAGCTGGTTGCTCAGCAGAAACGCAGCATTTAAGTAAACCAGTGGCTTGAGTAGCCGTGAACGCCCCCCGCCCCCCTCAGCCGCGTCAGCATCACGGTCCCAGGGCGACGGGCGCTTGTTTCCGGACCCGGCACTTTTCGGGTCACTCCGGGCCGTTCCGTGAACGCCAGTTCCAGGGGCTGCGGACAAGCCCCCGACTCAGAGACCAGGTGGGGCTGGCGCGCCGCTGGGGACGGGGGCCTGGCGCTGCCCTGCCCGCCGGTGGCGCGTCCCCAGCTCGGGTCCCCGCCCGCCGGGGGTGGGGGGGGGCAGCCCGGGCATGCGCAGACGCGCTGCGCCCCGTGTCGCAGGCCCCCGAGTGGCCACAGTCCGCCCTGCGAGCACGCGGCAGCTGGACACGAGGCCTGACTGCTGGCTCCGAGTTCCTGGACCCCCGGAGTTAAAGGCGTTGCTCGCAGACTCACAACCTTCCAGAGCAACTTTGTATCAGTGACAACGACCCAAAGAAACGCTGTCACCGGTTGACTGTTTCATAGCTTCCTGTGTTTTGCAAAATACAATGTATCTCCTCAAGAACAAAATTGTTAGAGAACAATATGGAGGGGATAGAAATGAGTGTCTCAATGGTAAAATATTTTCAACCAATTCATTTTGTTATATTAGCATTTGCTTAAGATTGTATTATATTTTCATAGCTGTTTTACTGTGAGATTAGGTCTTCAAGTTACTTAAATATTTATTTTTACACAGTCATTGGTCTTCAAACAAGTTGTCTTCACTTCATGCAGTTTTAGCTTTAAATGTATAATTTTAAATTATTTTCTCACTTTCTCCATTTTCTCCTGGCCATCTTTTTCAGCCTGTGCCTGTAAGCAGTGTTCAACAGCTCTGTGGGCACAAAATGGTTAGTTTGAGAGCAATTCCCAGATGCGCGTTTTTGGAGGCTCTGTTGGCTTGCAGAGGTGCCTCTCTCAAAGTAGGCTCCATTTAAAGACAGCGGATTCCCTGCTCTAAGAATTTTTCCTCCAACTGTTCCTCTAAAAATGCCGCTATTTTGCTGTCACTGGGTTGCACTTAGTTAAAAAAAATAATGTCCAAAATGAGAGGAATTGTTTAAAGGATCTCTTCATATACTCAGTTTACTTATTTGCAGGTGTTCCATTAACTTTATATATGAAAGCTTTAAGTAAAATTGTTTTGTGCCTTTCTACTGTCAAAATCGGATGAACTGAAACCTAGTTCAAATTTATTTTAGGGGTGCAGACTCACCATCCATATAATAGATGAAAAACATTTTTTAAAAAATTGTTTTCTGTTTAAACCACCAAGATCTCCCAGAAGCACTTGCACTTGAGGGGGGTACAGGTGCAGGGGAGAACCACATGAGGGGATTCTGGAAGTAGGTGTCAGAGACGATTCTGGAAGTAGGTGTCAGAGACGGTGTGACCTCAGGAGCAGGGTGTCCTGTCCCTGCACTCCCACAGGAGGGAGCTGGGTTAACGCCCCTCACTTCCTTTCAGAATGTGTGGCTGGAGGTGAGAATCCTTTCCTAACCGGGAAGTACCCCAATTTGCTGAGTCACTTGGAGAAAATAAAATTTTGCAGCTTAGTCTGAATGAAAAAGCTTGTAATTCCTTTTCCCAAAAATGAGCAATAGTTTCTGCATCAAAATAGTTTCATTTGTTCATGAAAGAATAGCATATAAAGGAACACAATTAAACATGATAGGAAGGAAAAACTATTGGTAAAGCAGGAAAATAGCTTGACAGCAGTCTATTTCAACAATACACACTGATTAGCAGTGACTCAGGCTGGAAGGCATTCAGGTAACTGAAAAGCGTCCTTATTCTATACGCATGTATATAGTTTTTGAACTACTGGTTACTGACACTGGAATAAAAAGAAGGGTTTAGTAAACACTGCCCTTTCTCAGTTGATTAACCTTTCGGTGCTGTGGTTATAGCTGGGTTGGTGATGCCATAAAACTTCAGGCCTCGTCAATTGTTATTGCAGTTTCCAAACGAGTTTTTCCAGCTACTTGCAACTGGAGTGCAATATTGTATATTCCATTTGAAAGAAATAAGTATCTTTATCATTTATTAATATTAATTTATGAATTTGTACAGTGTGAACATAATTGAAGCAAGACTGTGCCTGCTATAACTTCTCGTATCTTGTTTCCGTCCTTTCTTCCTGATACCATCTTATCAGATTATCAGTAGATGTGAGCAAAGAATCCCTGTACCTGTCATAGGTGAGTCACATGGCGTCTGTAGTCTCCAGATCTCCCTGGAGGTGGAATGCAGTAAAAACAGTTTGAATATTAAAGATATTGTTTTTCTTTCATTGTATCATCAATCTTTTGCTTAAGAATTTTTTTCTCTGTGTTTTATTATCATCATCATTGGAGAATGAGCACAAAGGTAAAAATGAAAGCACAGTGTGTGACTTTCCTGTCAGTTTACTCACCAGTGAGGGCCACAGTACACAGGTGCACTTTGCCCTCAGAACCTGCTTGGCTTGGGGCTGGTCGGAGTGAGGCAGGCAGGGAGTGACTGAGGTCAGTCACTGCACTGAGCCAGGCTGCTTTCTTTCTCACTCCTTCAGTAGCTTATGCTCAAACCTATGCAAGCATCCCAAGATAGGCATTCTTGAGAATAATAAATCAATCACTGTATTTCCATGAAGACAACTTCGGATCCCGGGGTGCTGCAGAACTCGCCCATTTCCCAGTGTGGCCCCATCACAGAGTCTAACAGCAGTTGCCTTTACTTCCTTCAGGTAAACAAGTTCTTACCTTTCAGCTGCCCTTTTTGAAAATTCATTAAAACAGGAAGCAATGAGGTGATGCACAGTGGTTAGGTGTCTGAGTTCTGCTTGCATTTTTAGTGATGAAATAAATAGATCTGCATAATATTTAAATGTTCCAGGTTGGAAATATTGAATAAGAAGGGAGTTAAGTTCTCAGCCAGGAGCTTACAAGTCTGGCTGCAGAAGTGTCAGGGAGCAGCTGATGGGGAGAAAACAGAGAAACACCTGAACACGGGCTCGGATCCGATGACATTTCATTGCTGTCTCTGCTTCAGTTCCCCAATTGTACAGCTGACTGTCATCTCTGTGTATCTCCTTGAAAACTGTCATGAAAATGAAATGCTTTCTGAAGGGGAGAGTATATTAAACCATTAATAACTATGCATCTTTAATTCTAAATAGAGTGTTAGTTTCCTTAGAAAGTGAGACCTTGAACCCCAGGAACAGACCTGGGAAGACCTGATGTCAATGTGGCCTGTGTGATGCTCAGTGTGGAGCTCAGGTAGGACTCTGCGACAAGTGCCAGCACAGGAAATCACAGTACCTGCTAAGCCCATATCCTGCATCCACCTAGTGGTGTTGGAACAATCGTGTACCTGAGCCATAGTCCCTGGAATTAGGGACACGGCGCTGAGGACTGAGCAGAATACACCCCCATGCAGTCATGGGGGTGCCGAGTTCCCAAGCTCCCTGCCAGGACAGGCTTACATTCTAATAGGGGGTTCAGGTCTTCAGTACGGACGTCTGGGTAAATAATAAGTCATTGATAGACAGCAAATCCATGAGCTGGGTAACACACGGAGGGAGGGAGGCCAGTCCGTCTGAACCACACATGGAACTGGAAGTCCAAATCATAAAGCGAATCAACCACAGGGAAGGGAAACATGCAAATTGTAAGCGGCACATTTTTTTCACAGGTTTGTTTCAGTCACAGGATGTCCTTCACTCTGGGAGCCTGAAACTTTGAATTCTAAACAGAATAAAGAGCAGAACACATTCCAAGCAGGACCTCAGGACTTGGTCTGTATAGGTCAGAAGGCTGTTGTAAGGGACTGTGTGCCTTCCCTGGGCTTTTAGAAGTCCACTTGTCAAACTTAGGAAAATAATAAAAGGAGTCGATACAGCAAGTAAATAGTGACTCACAGGCCAGCTCTCATGAAGGGCGGCAGTTTTCTGACCCCGGAAACTCAAGGACGTGCCCTTGGAGCTGAACAGCAGGGCTCAAGCTGGGACAAACCAGGCTGATGTTATCAGGACTTGAGGACCATGTTCTGTCCTAAGCTGTTTGACAAGTTGGGACTGCAGCATCCACAGCTCAGAAAGGGAGTGTTCCCATAGTGCCCGAGAGTGTTCTCACACGGTTTTCATTGCAGGTGTATGTGAGGTGTCAGAATGCCCACATGGGCATCTAGAGACAGGCAGAGAACCCCTCAGCTAGGACTACAGACTGCTAAGGCTGGAAGTGATGTGAGAGACCATGTGGGTCCCCCACAAAAGAGCCCAAGTGACCATGGCAATACTGAGAAAGAAGAACCAAGCTGGAGGTATCACAACACCTGATATCAAATCATCCCACAAGGCCATCGTCATCCACACAGCATGGCCCTGGCACAAAAACAGATACATAGATCAATGAACAGAACACATACAAATAAACCCTCACTGGTGTGGTAAATTAGTCTCTGACGAAAGGAGGCAAGTCTATTCAGTGGGGTAAAGATAGCCCCTCCAATAGATGGTGCTGGGAAGACTGGACACGTACAAGAAAATGAAGCTGATCACTGTGTTACACCACATATAAAAATAAACTCTAAATGGAACAAAGCCTTAAATGTGAGACTGGAAGCTATAAAAATCCTAGAAAAAAACATAGGCAGCAAAGTCTTTGACACCCGTCTTAGCAAAATTTTTTGGAGATGTCTCCTCAGGCAACACAAGGAAAAATAAGCAAGTGGGACGACATCAAACTACAAAGCTTTCGCAAAGGAAACCACCAACAAAACGAAAGACAACCTACTGAATGGGAGAAGACATTTGCCAATGATACATCGAATAAGGGGTTAATATCCAAAATATATAAAGAATTCATACAGCACACAAAAAAATCCAAATAAAAACACGGGCAGAGGAGCTGAACAGACATTTCTCCAAAGGGGACACACAGATGCCAATAGACATATGAAAAGATGCTCAACATCACTAACCATCAGAGACATGCAAATAAAACCCACAATGAGATATCACCTCACACCTGTCAAAATACCATTATCAATAAATTAACAAACAACAGGTGTTCGTGATGATGTGGAGAAAAGGGAACCCTCATGTACTGTTAGTGGGATTACAAACTGGCACAGCCACTATGGAAAACAGTATGGAGGTTCCTAAAAAAATTAAAAATAGATCTACTTTATGATCTGGCAATTCTACTTCTGGGTATTTATCTGAAAAAATCCAAAATGCTAATTCGAAAAGGTATCTGCACCCCTATGTTCACTGCAGCATTATTCACAACAGCCGACACATGGGAGTAACCCAAGTGCCCATCAACAGACGACTGGATAAAGAGGAGGTGGTGCATTTATATGTACAGTGGGATACTACTCGCCACAAAAAAGAATGAAATCCTGCCATTTGAGACAATATGGAGGGACTTATGGGTATTATGCTGAGGGAAATAAGTCAGACAGAGAGAGACAGATACCATATGATCTCACTTATATGCGGAATTAAAAGAAAATCAGCAGAAACAGACTCACAGAGAACAGGCTGGTGTTTCCCAAGGTGAAGGGGGGTGAGCGGCGCAGAGTCCCAGTTACAGAGCCAGTCACAGGGTGTGTGCTCAGCTCCGATAGTCGACAAGGTAACTCCGTATGGTGACAGGTGGGTACTAGACTTACTGCGGTGACCATGTCATAAGGTATATAAGTGGCAAGTCACTGCTGTATTCCAGAAACTAGTATTGTACATGAGCTCTAGTAAAAGGTGAATTTACAAAGAAATCATGTGGTTGCTCCCTCCCATCTTGGGGGTAGGCCTGGGAGGCAGCCCCCGCGTCGTCTGCGTTCCCAGTCCTGCCTTAGGGGGCCTACGGCTGTTTGCCAGGACCTTCCAGGGCGAGCACTGAGGCCCCGTCCTCAGGGGAGGGAACGTTGGGCACTCTAAGAGGGTTGGTTAACACCCATCTGGACGCCAGTGTCTCAATTTCACTGCAGTTCTCACTTTGGAGGAGCGAATGTCCAATCGCTGTGAGAGCATGAGAATTGTAAGTGCTTGGTTTGACATTTTCACTCCTGCCGGACATGAGGGCAGCTTGGGGTGTTTCCTGCCCAGTGTGGAGGGTTGTGTGGTCAGGACTGAGGAGGGCTAGAAGTTTCTGTGACAGGAAGGAAACACATAGCTGAGATTGAGCCCTGCACCTGGGGGGACCTGCTGGGGAGAAGATTGTCAGCACAGGTCAGGAGGAAAGTCAGCTGTCCCTGGTACCCCAGCAGCAGGGACAGCGCCAAATGCTGAGCATTGCTTCTTCCGGGTGGCCCTCATGACAGCCCACGAGGGCCATCACGTCACACATGAGACAGCTCAGGAGAGGAGGGCACAGAACTAATGTGTTGGTGAAGTAAGAGTTCAAACCCACGTCTGCCTGGCTCAAAGTGTGCACCAGGCTCTGTGCCAGGCTGGATCCCAAGAAGCAAATGCAGGGAGGGGCCTAAGAGCCTAACAGCTTCTCAAGATCACAGGCTGCTTCGATTCCAGGAAAGGCACCGCTCCCCAGCTGCCCCAGAGCCCCTGCCACCTGCTGAGTGACTCAGGCGGGCTGGGCTGCCCCACAGGTCACACCCTGAGCTCCCCACGCAGCATGTAAATGTCCCCACTGCAGGAAGCGCTCTCATGGTGCAGTGTATGTTGGTAATTTTATAGAAGATGATATGCATTTTAAAATGGGGTGAGGAGGAGAGCAGGGGGACCTCACACAAGCTGTGCAGAGGCGCTCGGGCAGCACTGACCAGGGCCTCGGAGACCGACCGCTCTGTCAGATGGGTGAGTGGAGAGCGGGGCTCCCGGCGGCAGCCCCTGCTCTGCACCCCACAACCCCAGACCTTCTAGGTCCCTCCCTTCCGAGAAGTCGGTCAGAACTATGGCTTTCAGGGGTTGGCCATTCATTTCCAGGTAAAGGGGTAATGGGCACAGTTATAAAGGAAGAGGAACCCCTTACATTTACTTTGAAGTTCTACAAAGTTTGACACATCTTTGGGTTGTGATTTTTTTCAGCAATAGGAAAAGATAAAAGGGCCAAGATGCACACATTCAGGATACCTACTTGCAGCCCCTGAGAGCATTTCAAGGCCACACCTGTATTACTGTTTTACAGGTGACAGGAAAACCTGAGCCAATGTCAACACCTTCCAAGGGCAGGTGGGCCAAGGAAGCACGACCCACCTTCTCGTGGTGGCTCTGGGCAGAGAGAGCAGCCCTGGCCGGAGGTCACAGGAGGT